GAATATATATTTTTGTTTGTGTGTTTAATTTTTGAATATTTTATATTCAATATAAAAATAAATTGTACGATTTTACACTAGTAGTGTGTATGATCAAATAATTTGTTGTATTTTATATTTAAAATTTATAAAAATATAAATGTAGTATAATAAATATCTAAATAAAAAATTAAATTTAATAACTTACATTAGAGTGATATAATACAACAAGATTCGAAATATTTTATATTTCAAATTATTCAAATATTAAGTACACAAAGCTAATTTTGCTTTCTTTCAAGTATTTAAAAAACCACTAATAATATATATAATATCAAATATTTCAAATATATTACCAATTAGTTCGACCCAATAAATAAATAGTACTCTTAATTCAAATGAAAAAAAAATAAAAAGAAAGAAAAGAAAAAGAAATCAGAAAGTTTCTATTCTTCGTGTCTTTCCACTTTGTTAAAACAATACACAATACATTTAGAAGTTAAGTGATAAGATCTCATCGATCGAATACACAACAGTTTGTTATTTAAATTTTCTACGTTCCTTTTATTCCACCGAGAATACTTACAGATAGAATATTGATACCTTAATGGGGAACAGATACAAATACATTAGTCACACACATACATTCCTATCTTTACATTTTACTTATGTTAGATAGAATGAAACATTCAGGTTACTTGGTTCATAGGTCATTCGGTAAAAGAGTTCATCTCGTTTGAGATCAACGAATTAGAAAGTACCCCTCTCGGTCCACTTGTTCGACCTCATGACCGTACAATTTTTCATCGACTCCCTACCCCCTTAGCATACATTAAAAAAACATCATTCACAAAATTTCTCTCATTATTGGCCATCGCGTAAGGAAAAAAAAAAGAAAAACTATGGAAAATGCAAAATTATTCATGAACAATTCATCGTGTGACGATTTTCTAATGTTACTTGTTAAATAATTGTATAATTTGACTGTTCGTTAAAAGTCTGACAATGTAATATCATAGATTTAAGTAAAGCATAAATTATTTCTAACATTTATTTCAGAGTAATATTTATGTGTGTGTGTGTGTGTGTGCGTCAAAATTAAATTTACTTTTGTCTTGCCGAGACGTACGTGTGTTTGTAAATACATTAATCTTTATTCTTCTTATTAAAAGTAAAAAAAAAAAAAAACTCTTAAAAAACTCTTTTCGAAAATAGACAAATTTTAATTAACTAACGCAAACTATAAAAAGTATTATATTATTTTACTAATTATTCTATAAAAAAAATTTGTTTACGAATTAATTTTATTTCCTAACGCATTAAATATATTTTTTACACAAAATCTTATATTTAATTTCTATTTAAATTTTAAATCAATACGAACCGATATATAATATATATTAATAATAATAATAATAATAATAATATTTTCTTATAATATACGCGTAGAAAGTAAAACGCATTATATTCCAATTACATCGAGCTATCATTTCTTCTAAAGAATCTAACATACTCACCAAATAAAGAATTACATTCGCTTTATCTAATATTATCAATTTCTCAACTTGATAGATCTCGAAACGTCGCGTCGTTTAGAACGAAAAACTCTAGTCACGAAGGTTTTCTAAGTCATGTTCTAACGTTCCCCACATATTTATCTCTCTCTCTCTCTCTCTTCCTCTCTCTTTCAAAATCCATTTATTCCAATCTCTAAACGTGTTTTCCGTTAGTTTTTTCTAAAAAAAAAAAATATAAAAATATTGACCATTAATTTATGTACTTTTGAATAAACTCACATTCACTTCCTTCCAAATGGCGAAGGAGGAGGAAGAGGAGGTGGAGGAGGAGCGGGGGTGAAGAAAGGCGAGAAAGAAAAGCAAAACGATTGAAAAATAACAAAAAAAAAAAAAAAAAAGCGTTAGAAATAGAGTGAAATGTGTCCGTTCGCACTGTGAATTAAATGCTAAAATTCAAACACACTTTCCTCCAATCGTTTTTCCTTTCTNTGGAGGAGGAGCGGGGGTGAAGAAAGGCGAGAAAAAAAAAAAAAAAAAACGAAAAAAAAAAAAAAAAAAAAAAAAAAAAAAATCAAACAAGAAAAAGCGTTAGAAATAGAGTGAAATGTGTCCGTTCGCACTGTGAATTAAATGCTAAAATTCAAACACACTTTCCTCCAATCGTTTTTCCTTTCTATCTTTCTTTCCTTACTTACTTCCTAACTCCTTTCCCATTTCCTTTCCCTCCGTATTCCCTTTTTGCATACGTAAGAGGGTGTAACTGGGCGTGATGGCGACAATGATGATGATAATGTGAGTGATTAAGGAGGAAAAGAATTGGTGGGAGTACACTAAATTTCCCTTTTTTTAACATTCACCGTGCTGACCTTTCACCTTTTTTCCTCTCATTTCTTTTTCCCTTGTTTTCTTTTTTTTCTTCCCCACCATCCTTCTTTATCGAGGAGACCCGAGGAGACAAGAAAACCCACGTCGGTGAAACTAAACACAATAATGTTAAAACTACTTGTACCGCATCGTGAATAATGAGATGGCGTGTACCGTAAAACAAAACAAAACAAACAATTTCCTAGAGACATTTTTTCGCACGGTTTTATTATTTTCCCCCTTTTACATCCACCTCTCCCTTGGGCCTTCTCCTCCCCCTTCCTCCTCCTCCTCCTCTTACTACCCCCTTCCTCCTTCCTTTCTTCTTCCACGAAACTCATTTATCGCTCTCGTTTTCTTTTCGTTTAACTCACACGTGACTTTCCCCATTCATGAAATTATTTTACACCGAGAATAGTAGAGTTTAAAACGTAGTCATAAACATTCAACCATAATCACTTGTCCTCTCTCATAGATTATTTTGTTTTATCTATTATATCTTTTTTTTTATTGCTTTACTTTGCTTTGCTTTTTTATATTTTCTTTTTTTTTCCTACCACCCCATTTCCACGGTAATCTCTACTGTTAACAATAAGTCGAACTTAATTTTTTAATAACGTGCAACGGTATTTGCTGTTGTTGGTTGGTTGGTTTGTTAACGGTACAAGTGGTAGAGCTTGTAATGTGTCTTGGATTTGAAAGTTTATTCCTGTTCAGAAGTGAGAAAGAAAGAGAAAAATAGAGAGGAATAGAAAAGGTGACATTTATGAGCGATCATAAACGTTCCAATTGGATTCAAGGCTAACTTCGTTCACATTATTACGATTAAATATAAGATTTGTTATGGTAGATAAGAATTATTCATTTCTTGCATTGTTTCATGTTAGATTCGTATACGTGTAATTTTATTTTGATGTGTCTTTTTATTGCTTTTGTTAGAGGGTTGTAACAACAACGCCATTTTGCGTCTTCCATATTGGAGAGTTAACCGGAAGTTCCCTAGATTTTCAAAATCAATTACTCTATCTTTCGAAATGAAATTTATTTTCTTTTTAAATTATACTAACAAAAAAGTTTGTTATACTCTGTAAAAAAAGTTACTTCAGTCTAAACATTATCGTGAAAGAGTAATTGATTCTAAAACTTAACTAGAAAATTTGTGATCTCGTCTAGGAACTTTTGGTTTATCTAATATTAAAACTTCCTACATTACTTATTGATTAAATCTCCCATATCTTCAGTATTCTTATTCCGTACTATTATTTAAATCTTTCAACTATAAATAAATTATTTTTTCATATTCTTTTCTGTGTTGAGATAATCATTGACGCCATATTGTTGTATCTTCAGATCTTGAATAAATGAAATCATCGTGTTGTTTTATTTTCAAATAATTCGATTATTCGAATTAGATCAATTCGATTGATGCCATTTTTCCTTTCATTATTTTATCTATGAAAGAAAGATAAAAATAACAATGAATAGATCTAACGAAAGGGAGAATTAAACGTAAATATTTTACCCACGGATATTAAGCATCGTCGTGAGAATGATGGTTCTCCATTGAAAAGTTAGCTGATTTGATACAAAGAGCACGGCTTTCTCATAGGCCCGCATGTAACGGATCGAAAGTAACTTTAGCGGTATGCATTCCACTTGTTTGTAAGGAAATAGGGATGTACACCTCCTTCCTTCTCTCGATTTCAAACTTCATAACCATAATAATTGATTGCCCCCTTCTCTTCTTATCTATCTTCGGGTTTGTATTTTTGACGATATTTACTTCGATTCTATTGTTTTCTTCCTTTTTGATTATAGTTGGGAATAAATAATATACACGAGAAGATCCATTGAAAATAAAAGTCAAATACAATCTCGTCGAATCTTCACAATATTCTTACTCAATCATTTCCGCATTGATGATGCACATTGGAATACATGGATAAAAATATATCTAAGTGTTTAAGTTTTTTTTTTCGAAACCTGATCTCTTGTTCCGATATCGTCTGCAATTTACAAATTTTTCTTTTCCATTCTTGTCGAGTATCATCGAGTATATGTTAAAAAGGAAAAAGGAAGGCGGGGGTGCGGGGGCGGTAGGACTTTGAAATATTAACTTTAGAACTTTAAAACTTTTAAGAAGAGTAGAAACTACAATTTCAACGAGAGTTCCTTGTATCGATGACGTTATTTAAAATTCTGAGAAAACATCATCCCTTAATTTAGAATTAATATTGCATACAACATAGACTTTTTTTTTTTTATTGTTAACATAAATATTTAAATATTTGATATAGCATTAGGGATCTCGAATCGAATAGATTACTTCGATACGTTCAAATTTCATGGTTTCACTTTCGAATCGATGATCGATTTAATAATCATCATCATCATCATAATGTGAGCTAACACAATAAGTGAAAGAAAAAAAAATATATAATTCTTACGGATGCGATAAGAATGGAGAAAGAAAGAGAGAGAGAGAGAGAGAGAGAGAGAAAGAGAGTGAGAAAAATACGGGCTAGTTCATTCGTACACACTAACACATACATATATATATATATACATACGTGTGGTATGTGCACACGTTCAACGCTCCCAACGTGAGAGGAGGGAGGTTGCCGGGCGCGTCGCGCTCGACCAATCACAGGCCGTGCAACAGAACGAACCGCGGTACTACTCGGAGCTCCTCGGCTCCCCTCGGTACCCCTCGGCTCAGGCTAACTTCGTGGTGATCGGTTCAGTCACACTTCCGCTACCGACCGGGTACGATGTCGTTCGTGCCTCGGCTCCGGTTTAAAGTTTCGTGTTTTTTTTTTTGGAAAATATCCGAGTGATATCGTCTCGAGTAGTGTTGTCTGTGCATCCTTGATTACATTCCTCGTCGTTATCTTTTTATCTCCGGTGAGTGCATAGTGTTTCTACGATTCTGTGTTATCAAAGGTACGAAGTGCGAATTCTGGATTATACATATTTAAATATAAAGATAAACAAAAAAAAAGGGATCTAAAGATTATCACTAAAAATCGTATTATCATTTAATTATTCTTTACGTCATTCGATTATTAATATATAAAATTGGAGAATTGAGAAATCGAATTATTAAACGAACGCGAAAAAGAAAAACGTTTCGTATTATTTTTATATCGTTTCTTATCCATATATATTTGTTTTTATTCGATTTTATTATTATTGTTATTATTGTTGATCGATCTTTTACTTCCTCCGTTTTTACATATTTCATATCTATAAAGTTTTCTTGACGATTATTAAATGCTTGAATAATCACAGAGACTCAAGGCGAATTTTCTCAACTTGTTGGTTACACAAATAGAAAGGATTAAAATATGAAATAATTTCAATCTGTATAAATATATGAGATATTGATTAACTCGGGAAATGTATATCGCAGTTAGATTCGTAAAGGTTTGGGTATGTGCGAGAATAGGTCAGTTCTTGTGTCCTCGTGAACGATAAAACTAGGATGCTGCGCAAACGTCGTCCCAAAATGAAATACTCCCTTATTCCTACGTGAACACTTAAACTTTAATATTATATTCTTGTATTTCAAATTATAATAAAATACACATACGACGAATACAAATAGAAAAATATATAAAAACTAATGATATACGAACTAATTCGTAATCTTGTTTCATATATATTAGAATTTATTTTGAATATTGTAGATGTTAGTTAAAATCGTTGAGAGGTTATGTTTGCTTGCTCATGCGTTCCTCCGAACACTTTTCTCGATACGTTTCCATCTCTTTCTATCTATTCATCCACATATCTATCTGTCTCTTTCTTACTTTGAGGCGCGCGCATACAGTAGCAGCACAGTTGCCGAAGAAAACTACGAAGATTGTCGAATACGCACGAGAAAGATAAAAGAGGAGGGTCGTAGAAGTTGGTGAAACATTGACGGGGGATTCAACGTCGGATATTTTCGTCTCGGTTTCCCTCCCTTCTCTTTTTTCTTCTATTTATCCCACTTCTCTTTCTTTCTATTTTTCTTTCTCTCCCCCATTTCAGTAACGCACATACTCGACCTTGAGAAACCTCCTGGAATCTCTTCCAGATTCTTGCTAAACGATTCTTACCGAAAATACACGAGAAATGTGTTCGGATCGAGACACTTATATTTTTTATATTATATTATTCTCGATTAATTTTGAACTATAAAATTATTAACGAATAAATATTAGATTGATTTTTTTTCTTTTTTTTTTTTTTTAATTAGATTTATCCGATCGATTTATCCGCCCCCCCCCCTCCCTAAATTGATTTATTTTAATAATTTGTTTTTTTTTTTTCATTTAGTTTATCCTCGAAATTAAATGGCGGGAGGGGGTGGCTGCATAAAAATGGCGCGCGCATCCGAATTTTACAGTTCGTTAATTTTCCTCGGTCTTTTTTTTTCTCGTTTGTTTTTTCCTCTTAATATTCTTTTTATTTTTATTTTCAAATAATAGCCTCGTGGTGTCTTCCACTAGCATCGGCATTCAAACGATTTGCAATGAAGCGTTACGCGATAGTTTCGAATTACGCAATGTGGCTCGTGTCGGTAATGTTAGTTTAATTCCAACGAATTCGTGTTAGATTGTCGTTAATTTTTATTTCCCCCTCTTGTATAAATACATATTAATTATATTTATTATTACTTTTATTATTGTTATTATGTAGGTACAAAAAAATGTGAGAAAGAGTAAGAAAGAAAATGGGGAAAGTTATTGTTAAATATATGGATTTTTTAATCTAAGCGATTACGTTCGAGACTCCTATCACATTTACATTAAATAACTTTACGCATATTTGTAAAATATATACAATTCCGCGAATATTACAATTTTTATTTTATATTTTTTTATGAATATTTGAAGAAAAGAATTTTATTAGAATTAGAAATCTCTTAGATACCCCATTATTTAACACTTCGAGGAAATAATCTAATCAGGAATTTGCAAAATAAATCTAATACATTGAATTGTTAATATATTTTTTTATTTATTTTTTTTTATCATATATAATAAACTTAATAATACACGTTTTCTTCTTGTTTACTTCCGTAAATATTTGGAAGAAACAATGCAGGAAATAATTTAATCATGAATTTGCAACGAATGTTAAAAAAAAAATAATATTTATAACAGTATATATAAGAATAGTTTACTCTTATCTGTGACGTATTGTTCGCATAAGTATCGCAATTTTGTATTCTATAATTACAGTAAAAAAAAAAAGAAAATTAAAAAGAAAATTGATTATTAATAAGAAATCTATGATAAATAATTATCTAGCAACATTAGAAACTAATCTAATCGGTAACATGCGATGAACATTAACACCAAATAAATTTCTCATACTTGTAACATCATTTATATAACCTTTTGTTTCAATATTTATTTCAAATAATAAATATTTAATTGAATATAAATCGATTTAGATTTAATAAATAATCCTCAGAAATAGAAAAAACAAAACAAATTTTTGGTTAATAGGAGAAAGACGAGTTTTCTTTTAAGTATCGTTTATAGTAATTGAAAGATGAATTTGTAAAGTCTCGTTGATAAAAAAGAAAACAAAAAGGGGGAAATCAAAAGAAGGGTTAATTCTATAAGAAAATAACAAGGTGCAGTGACACATGTTCTTGTCATTGTGTGATGAAGCCTCGCCTTATTTTAAATGTTGAGATAATATTTATGTATGTATATATATGTATGTGTATGTGTATTCTACCATTAGAAAACGTAACACACTCCACTTCGCGTCAATGAACAGGCTTTCGTCCGCTCCGATTATTTAACCTAATTAACTCGCCACTCGGTATATGCAGCTCATTATGAGTTTTTAATTACGTCCGAGTATTTACGATCATGTCTTGGCAATCGATCTTTTTATTTTCCTTTTTTTTTTTATTATTAATATTATTTAAATACCAAATATGCCTTTTTTATTTAGAATAATAAATTGTATTAATCGTTTGTCGTAATGAAAATCTGATTAAAATAAGATTTAAACAATTAGATATTTTATTTAAATTATTCTAACGCGTGGTAGGTAATTTAATGTGATTTGCATATATGCAATAAAGCTACAGTAAAATAATTTTTTTTTTTTATTATAATATATAGAATAATTAGTATACACGGTGTATATACAAATTTATTGTAGTAATTCATATATATATAATATTTATGCACGGTGTATTAAATTAAAGATCGTTGCAATTAATTTATACGAAAAAAAAAAAAGAAACAAAATATTATTTTCTCTCACAAATTAAAAACCATCTAACTCGAGTAATAATAATAATAATAATAATAATAATAATAATAATATCAATTAACTTTTAATTACTACGAAAATAAACGAATACGAATTTTGGTTGAAACTTTGAATGTAAAAAATGATTAACATCCTAGTTCGTTGAAACAATTTATTTTACATTTCCAAATTGCGTTGTTACTACTTTCACACACTCGCGTTCGATAATAATATAACATTATTAAATCACTATAGAAATATACATATATACACAGAGAGACACAAAAGTGTGTTCCGTATTGTCTTCTGATGATTGTTAATTAAAATAATTACTTTTGCTTAGTACACAGGTTGGAAAGTAGAGATTAATCAGTTCTCATTGTAAGAGAACACTCTTCTCTCTCATTCATTGAATAATTTAGTGAATACAATACAATGCTGATGAAGTTTAGTGAACCGTTCGATCGTATCTAATAACCGTGGCATCTTCTTTTCGAATAAATAAGATAAAAATTACGTCAAGTGAACAAAGAAAAAAAAAAAGAAAAGAAAAGAATCGTGAAATCATTTCAAAGTTTTAATTATTTTGTTCGATACTTTTTTTTCCCTTATTCTTTCAGATTTTTATTTTATCCTATTTTATTTCTTGTGTTTTGAAAATAAAATTAACTTCAGGATTTAGAAAAATTCTTTTTTTCTATACCAAAAATTATTTATATATATATATTAATAATTAAATATCATAATTAATATATCTTATATATCAAATATTATATAAACTCGATATGAGTTTAAATCAAACACACACACAAATAAATATCATATACTTTCTTATGTGTGTATATATATGTCAACTTTCTTTATCAAAATTCTAGAGTCAAATTTACCAATCAATAAAGGCAAAGAGCACGCGTGACGTAGTACACTCGTTTAAAAAAGAATTCCAAGGTCAACAGGCTAATCGTAAGATTAGAAACGCTGAAGAACTCAAATACGTGCATTGATCGATTGTTACACTTTCCAAAAAAAAAAATGTAATTGAAAAATGTGATAAATGATTTTATAATGCAAATTTTGTTAAGATAAATTCTTAATACGACTACGATTACAAAGACGAATGAAAATGGCTTCCTTCTTCTTCTTCTTATTCTTCTTCTTAAACTTTATTAGCACGTTCCTCTTCCTTTCTTTCCTTTTAAGACGATGCACGATGCATTCTATCAGGTGACTTCGTGTTTATTAAGTGCTAAGAATTTTCTTATGCAATTAGTTCGATTACTTTTGTTATATTTCAAACGAAGAAAACACACATACACTTGAAACAATCGGTGAAAGAATTCATTTATTATTAATTTTTGTATCTTTAATTGGTTTGAATATTAAATCATTCAAAATGTTATGAACGTTGCTTTGATTGAAATGTTTAAATAGATTTTTGATAGAACTTTATTGGATCGTTGCAATTTAATTCATTCGAAAAAAATAATACGACAATTGTTGCATTATTTTTTTTTTTTTTTTTTTTTTTAATTTTAATTTTCTTTCTTAAAATTCATTAGATCGATAATAATTCTTATCATTTCTCGTATAATATTATCAGATAAAGTCGAACGCTATCATTCTTATAAGATGCCATTAATTTTTTTTTTTTTTTTTTTTTTTTTTTTTTTTTTTTTTTTTTTTTTGCGAAAGAAATAAGAAAATTTTTGTCGTTATTGTTGTTCATTGTTTTCTTCTTAGAAGGGAAAAAAAAAAAGAAGAAAAAATTGTCCACATCTATTGATCATCGATTGATGATGATTCAGCTATCATTTACGTGACTCTGACGGTAATTAAAAGAAAGAAAAAGATTGTGATACGATAGAAGAGTCACTAAGAAATAAAAAGTCGGCGGGAAATTTAACAAAATTTTCTTCCTCGCAAATTTTAATATTTACGATATAAAATAAATGATATTTTTCGACATTTATAACGAGGACACACCGCGTCCGTACGTTTCGAATTTGCGTTAATCATAATCAAATTATGATAATTATTACCATCGATAAATCTATCCAATAAATTTATTGTTACGTATTTTCGTAAGTATTTTCGAGTGATTGTACACGTGCACAATTGAGTTATCGTTCTTAACTACGTTAAATGTCACGTCATGTAACCTTGCATATTAGTATCAGCTAAAGTCATTTTGTACGCTAATGTATATTCGACATTATGGTTAACTTTATCAAGTTTACTAGAGTTTCTTAACGTTAATTGATTTTTTTTTCCTTCATACGACATACGATTACGCAACTCTTTAAATTTTCATTCGAATTTTTATATAATAAAAAAGTTATTAAACATTAATTATTTAAAATATTTCATGTGTAAATACATCAAACTTAATTTTAATTTTAACTCACACGATATTGTTTCAATAAACGCTACTTATACGGCTCAACAATTGAATAATTATTGTTAAAATATTTGTTATTATCAAAATTAAATACACTTCAATAATACGTAATATTCGACAATTATAATGTGTTACCAAACGTGTTACAAAAATCAAATTCCAATTTCATCTCGTATTTAATAAATACAATTTTCATTTTTTTCATTCGATATTTAAATATTATCTTTTAAATTACAAAAGATATTTGTGATGAGATAGATAGATAAAAAAATGCATTAATGGGATTGAAGAAGCTTAAAAAAAAAGTATTATGAGAAATATTTTCGTGAAAGTATATTGGCAAAAGAAAGTTACGAATTATTTCGATGGGGTCCTTTTTGTAAGAGTGTTGATGGTGTCTTCCAATCGAGAGAGGAATGCATCCGTTTTCGAAAGCTGAATCATTAATCCTCTTTCTTCTCTCTTTCTCTTTCTCTTTGAACATTTTCCTGAAGGGGTCCCTTTCTCCGATTAAAAAAAAAAAAAAACTCCCTAATTTTCTCCAACGAGTACTTGTATATACTTTTATATAAGTATATTGATGCCGTATAATACACATACATATATATTGAAGATGGGTATCATCTTATAACCAAAAATGGTCTCAATAAATGTATCACATCGGAATGAGCGAAAGCGAGTTGTAGTTCAACCTCTTTCAACGGAAAGGTGAAGATTGATCGTTTTCAATGTTCGTTAAAAATCATGTCTTCGAATAGTGAAAGAGTTGTATATATATATATGGTTAATGTGTGTATGTGTGTTGGGTTTGTGTGCGTTCCAATTACGTCCAGTTTAATAAACGTTCAATTAATATCGAACTTGTTTTCGAGAAAATTCGCAATTCGATCTGTTAAATGTATAATTTCGCGTATTTTTATTTTAATATTTCATCCGTATTAATTGTAATTTTCATCAAAAAAAGTTGTAAATTAAAACAAAAATTTCTTACCTTTTTTTGTAGTTTCTAATTAAAATTCGGTGTATAAGGGATTTATATTTGATATATATATATAAGAAAAAGAATAAACAGTAATTTGCGTGTAACATAAAAAAAAATTGATTAAGTTAATCGACTAAGAAAAGATTTAATTGCGACCTTTAAGCATGATCGAACACGAATTACACAAAAAAAAAAAAAAAATACGAGTACTGTTATATATCAGTCATAATTTTTTTTGTTTCCCTATTAGTTTTTAGAATTTAACAAAACAACAAGAAAATCTTTCGTTTCGTTGAATTTGTTCCTTACATGAATGTAAAACACCAATGGGGTTGGGGAAAGGGGGTTATCCTTCGATTCTCCGTTATCATCATCATGCGTATCCTGTTAGGATCTCGGATTTGTTCTTTTTCGAATTCTCGATTCTCGATAGAGTTCATTGAACCTAATAACCGATACTTCGTTCACCGGTTTTGTGATAATCTTTAGATCAAATTCAACTCGGATTAAATAGACCGTAATTATTTATTTATTTTAATTTTATGTTTTGAAAAAAAAAAATAGGAAACATTTAGATGGAAGAAATTACTGAACATCTTCGAGTTGCTAAACTCGTTCGATTAAAATTTAATATCTCACTAACGACTGATAAAAATCATCGATAGGAGGGGTACTGTGAATAAAAAAAAAGAAACAAAAGTGTTGTAAATAAAAACTAACTTAAATATAATTGAAACAACTACAACAAATATTAAACGCATAGTTATTGTCAGTGAATTATTAAATAAAAAAGAAAAAAAAAAAGACTAATTTACGCACCATCAAAAGTAGAAGAATAAGAAGAAAAAGAAGGATCAATCCGAAATCCCGATATAGAGGAATTCAATTGGATCATGAGGACATGAACGACACGAGTTTAAGTGAATCCCAAGAAAAAGCGGGTTTAACGGCACCACCAAATCAAAGTAATAAAGATGGGGGTGGTGGTGGTGGTTCCAGATGGTTTGTACCACCGATTGCTACCACAACCACCGCTGAATCAACGTTCGAAAGTCTCGCATTGGACGTTTCTTACGCGGGATTGGATATGTCAGGGCATGATCTGGTTGATCATGCTACGAGTAGTTATCGGGAGACAAGGGATGAGAGGAGGGGGGGTGTCAAAAAAAACGAGATACAAGGAAAAACAAATAAGATAGATAATAAGGAAGATGATTTGTTGTTGTGGGATGACATCGGTGTCGTTGAATATTTGGAAAAAAAACTTGGACCACCTGACGAAAGTACACCTGAGGAACGTGTCGAAGTTCTTAAAGAAGTTTTAGCCGAAACTGACATTCACGAGGGCGACGGGGATCTATCGGATTTTCTCTTTCACGTAGCTAGGACGAAATATGGCAGAATTTACATCAGAGTCATTCGTACTCTTCTACTAAACCGAGGTAGGATTACTTCTGATTTTTATCATGCGATTTGTTTAAATGAAAAGTTGGGACAATTTATATTTTTCGGTTTTACGTAATATATTTTTGAATATATTTATACAACCCTTTTCACGACGGTGGAATTAATGAATGAATTTTTGTCTCGTTGGTGTACGCCGTAAAAAACGTTTAGGATGTCGTCTCGTATTTTTGAAATTTTCATTATATGTTTCCTCTGTTGTCAAATAAATACACTTTACTTGTGTCGAAAACTTTTTCTTATGTTCTAAATTAAACACGTGTGTACAGTTATCGCAAATTTCTTTTTAACTAATTTAATATTAATAATTCATGGGATGCCGTATATAACCGGCGCCAGTCGTGAAAGGGTTAAATAGGTTAAACAAAGTCTTAAAAAAAAAAATCTTAGCTTATCTCGCAATCAGTTTCCATGCTTAAAATTTTACGAATTCAATGGGATGATAACAAAATATTCGTTTAGCGTTTTAAATTAATCGAGAATTATATCATCAATTCAGTCTCTCTTTAGAATCTTATCGACATTTCGTGTTAGGATGATTTAACTTAACTCGTTTATTTACCGAATGAATGAGGCGTCAATGAATTGTAATAATAGCAAGATAAATAAAGAAAAAAAGAGACACGTTGAAGAAGAATAGAGAAAGAGAGAGAGAGAGAGAGGTTTAGCTAGCAGTGGTAATAAATGTTTTCGATTTTCTTTACGATTATGGTAGGTGTAATCTGTGCTCAGGTAACCGTGTAATTGTAACTTGCACTGCGTCTCGCTAAGTGACGAAGCAAACGTATATCTGTCTGTCTAAATTATTTCCTTAAATTTTATCAACTATTTTTTTTTTTTTTTTTTTTTCTTTACATACACACACGCGTGTAATATTTCTTATGCGCGTATTATATTCATTCTATTTCATGTTACGAATATTTCAGTTCATGTCGTCATAATTGAAATTTCGTTCGTATGGAAAATTTGCAATAATAAATGACTAGTATTTTCATAGTTCTGCTCAGTCGTTTATGATTCCTGATTATTTATGATACGACGATTGTGTGTTGCGTGACATTAAAGAATATTTCTCTGTAAAGTAATTATAATACATCCTTGTTGTGTTATTTCGCGTGAACACTCTGAAAAATTTGTAAATTACATTTTTCGTACGCCTGTCGCATGCACACGCTTTCGTAAAATATATTCGCTAGAATTATAAAGGATTTTTATCGTTTGACCTTGAACACGAATGTACCACGAATGTCTCGCAATCAGTATCAAAAGTCCGACTAGATTTCAAAATTTACTTATTGAAAATCGAAAATTTGATTCTTTATCATTTTTCTTTATCTTTGATTGAATATTTTGTAAAAAAAATTAGATTCTTATACAAGATGGCGGATGGTTCATTTTCACTCCTCGTAATCTTCTTTCATCTTTTTAGCATAGATAAAAGCGAGTAAATAAATCATCTTAGGAAAGTTTTTACATCACTTTCGAGATGTAATTCAAAATCTCTTATAATTGTTAATTTCTTATAATTTGTTGCACGGGGCATATTTTGTCATAAGAAGGTTGGTAACTGTATTTCTCATAATAATCGACGAAACTACCGTTCGCCATTATTCCCATTGCCTCATTCAATTCGACTTTATAATATTTCCTGTAAGCTTGAGAAATCTTCTTTTCTTCGGATCTTCGAAGTAAACATTTTTTCGAATTTTTTTCTTCTTCTTCTTCTTTTACTTTCATCTTATTCGCACTTTTCTTTCTTTCGATATCTATTTGTTCTATTTATAAAGAATTTCCGGCAATTATTTTTTTGTTATTACAATTTTAGCGGTTCACTTCTCCCGTTAATCCAATCACACGTCGATATTTATCGTTCAACCAAAATCGTATTTGCACACAAGCTTTAATCGTTGTCATTCATTTTTCTTCTTCTTTTTCTTCTTCCCCTTTTGCAATATTTTGCGATAATTGTTTCTGCACGGAAATACATTTATTCATATATTTCTTACGTAAGAAATTTCTTCTCGACATTACAAGAGAAAATAATATATCACAATTTCTCACACATATTATTTTTCTTTAATTGTAATTGTAATTAGATATTGTGTCAATAAACGCGTGTCATGCCACTCACGTTCTTTTAACGTTCATATGATCGATATCGATTGCTATACAAAGTTTTTACGTGTGTCGACTTGAAAGAATGAAAAATATAGACAATAATAATCGTAATGTTTTATTAAACGAGAAGAAAGAGGCGCTTAGGACAATGAACCCAGATGATCGATTCAAAATACAAATTATATTCTCTTTTCCCGCCAAAATTTCGCGAAATCAAAATAATAATAATAATATTTTATCGCATTGTGGTGTAATATGTGTTAAATAATTTTTCTTTATAAAAATATAAAAGATATTCTATATAGAGTATTTTTATAATAATTATATCGCGGATATTATAAGTGTATGCGCTATCTTTGTTACAAAAGATCTAAATTTAAACACGCCGAGTGTTGTATAAACGCGAAAATTATTCTTATGTTAGTTAAACATAAGAAAAAAAAATAAAATAGAGAAGAATTCATTATTCTTCAGTACCCTAAAATAGCTGACATATAAATCGAAGTTTTATCCCTGGTTAGTATAATATAAAACCGATCTATTTTCATGTGCGATTCATTCATACAAATGTCAGGAAAACTCAAACGTTGAATGGATCGATGCGTAGTTGGGTGGCATACATGCAATAGGTCACAAAGTTGTAGATTCTCTTTAAGCCCTTCAAGATCGACCTGTGAACGCCCTTTTAAGAGGGGAGAGAGAGAGAGTGAGAGAGAAAAAAAACTTATCAAATTATTTTCATAATACATAAATATACCGTTATCCAACGAGGAACGTGAAATTAAAATAAACGAATTTGTTTTCCTCTCTTTTTATAAAAAGTATAAAATAAAATTGTGCAAGTAAAATAAACTATCGAACGTTTAGGAAAAAGAATGAAAAAGAGAGAGAGAAAAAACAGGGAGGAGGGATGTTTTTATTCGGTCGGTAAAATACCGACCTATCGGTATAGAAAGTAACGACATCTGCCGTGAGAAAGGTGTAACCTTTAGAGAAGAACATAAAGGAGGGATAGATTGAAAGGCAACATGGCGGATTGATCCAGTCGTGGAACGTTTCGGACTACGTTCTGATGATCTCTTCCAACGGTGATCATTTCCAGTTAGCACAGTATCGTGCCATTCAAAGAAGCTTAGTTTTTATCGTAAACGCAAACAGGATAAACGTCATTGGCAAAAAGCCATTGAAACAAGTTTGAAGGTTATTGCAGTGTTTTCAAGAATGTCTACTTTTAATCTTCGGTGCGATATCCTCAAAGATTGATATATATACATATATTTTAATACACGCGATTAAGGATCGCATTTTGAACGATACTTCGTTATTGAATGGTAAATATATTTATCTATCTATCTATATATATATTTATTTGAATTATTCTTATTATTTATCTATATATATAGTTTTTAAAAGTATAAAACTTCAATATTTATATGTAATGCGTGTTGCACCGGCTCGCAAATAATCTTGTCATCGTGCATCGATGTCGTTGCCATCGATGATTGGCCGGTGAGTAGTTTAAGAACGACACTGATTGGTCGAAACTCTTGGTAGCTTTTGTTTTAAGATAATATTACCCCCTCACGAAATCGCGGGATTGAAATTGCAACCCCCTGTTTCCAAAAACGCGCGCGCGCGCATATTTGGGTGTCCCTTATTCTTATTAACGAATAATTTTATTATCGTTTTCATTTTTTTTTTTTTTTTTTTAAAAAAAACGCATTTGATAAAGTTCATGAATTGGAATTTATTCGTCGCAACGAAGATTAATCTCCAGACAGGAGAGATACTTAACAACGTCAATTTAACGATGTGATGCGCTTTATATATTTCGTATGAGTCATTTACGAATGTTTATTTGTAGCGTATGACGATAAGAATTTTAATATATTCCTATTAATCTCTTCTCTTCTATTTAATATTTTTCTTACGCAACTAGAGTTAAAACATTGGAGAGAAAAAAATAACAAAACGATAAGAATTCAAAGCCGTAGAGAAAAGAAAAAAAATATTCATATCACAAAGAATGTTCATACTTTTGCAAGATTTACTAGCTCAATTATTTTTATTAATATACGTTCGATTATTTATATTCAATAAAGACAATTTATAGTCGACGTGAATTTCACAAACGAGATATAATAATAATAAAAAATAAAAATATGACAAAGTTTTAGAATCAATCGAACGTGAAGAAATAAAAGAAAAATGCACAATTTATAGTGTACTTGACCGTGTGGTGGCAAATGGGGGGGGGGGTAAGACAAAAAACGTTTCTTGACGATCCTTGACGATCCTTGACATCGTTGTTGCATATTGTTTTGTGAGTATTATTTGAAATATGATACATATATTTTGTAAGTGTTTTGTGCATATACATAAAAACTTACAAATTGTATATGTATGTGTATATATATATATATTCATGTATGTGTACACTACAACGATCTGTTTTTAAGGCAACGAACGAGGCTAACAATAAGTTAAAATTTTTTTTTCTTTTTTTTTTTTTAAGTTGTGTGTTTTATTCATGCTGGAGTCTCCAAAGATCGTGACAAATAACCTTTAACTTTATTTTTTTCCTTCTCTCTTTTTATCTGTTTATTAATATACTACATTATTATGCAGCCTGATAGATATGTATAAAAAAAAAAGTTTACGAGATAATCTTAGAAAGATCATTTATGCGTATTATAAAACATATGCGTATGTTTATGTGTACGTATACGTAGAGTTGATTCGCGTGTAAAAAAAAAAGGCCCGATTTTTAATCAGTCTGATTCTTCCCAATATTATTAATACCGTGTCTATTTAAAACACGAAAAAGGCTTCATGGATTTCATACAATCAGTTTGGTTGG